GGGGGGGTCATGAATTAGTGAGAGGACAATGCCAAGTGCATCAGGGCTTGTTTATAATATTGAGTACAACACTTTAGTGCTGCTGCTCTCTCTCTCTCCCTCTCTCCCCTCCATCATGTGGTAAGAATGTAATTGCCAGAAAAGCATATCTGTCAGTGTTTGCCACCCTGCTGATCATTTCAAAGTGAAAGAACCCGAGCCGGCCATGTAAACAGACCACTAGACTGGACCACTAGACTTTCTCTCACACACACACACACACACACACACACACACGCTCAGACACTTGTACATGTAACCATTGTACAACTTCAAATATTTACCTTCTTGCTGCAATACTGCTCCATCCTCAAGAGGAAATGTCCTGCAGTGCTAATTAGGGTTTCCTCTGTTCCTTCATTCGGCTGTGGCTCGGCCTCTGCAGTAAGGAAATTGCCAGCGCTGCGATTAGAAAAAATATATATAAATAAGTGAAACACAAAAGCAATATAATATCACTGAACTACCCTATAAAAATAGTGTATGGTAATACAGGCCCAGTGTTCACAGTAGTGTTTACAATGTATGCACTTAGCACAGCAAAGCAATCTTGTTTACTGAAGATATGCACATGAAAAGCTTGGGTCCAGCATATGGACACTATCATTAATTATCAAATGATTTAAAAAAAGAAGAAATATTTGAAATAGTTAACTCTTTCACATGCAGAGTAGCCGTTTATTTTGTTGACAGACGAGTTTCATGAACAATTCATTTCTTTCCAAAGTAAGATCATACGTTTGAAGATATAAATTTGTCTGAAAACAAGATGTCTGCTCTCCGCTTTATCTTATTTCTGGTACCTTTTTGTTTTTGCTTCCACCACGATATAACGATTTCTCCATCAGCGAGCTGTTTGTCTCCTCTGTTTTTGTTTTGTTTTTTCTCTCTCTCTCCATATGACAAAGTAGCCGAATACAATGCTGTTTATTTTAGTGTTGAAACCAAAAGCGGGACCAACAGCAACAGAGAAAAGGGACAGAAATAGTCTCAAAACCAAAATCACCTTCGGTTCACCAATGCTGCAAAGAAAGACACACCCACACACACACACACACACACACATACAGTATATGCCCGAGGCGTTCTTCTTTAAAGTATTTGGATGTGTCTCAAGTGGCATCTCCAGCCTTCTATTCTCTCTTGTCTCCTTCCATTGGGCTATGGGCAAGAGTCAGGAACCATCTACAGTTGGAGAAGGAGCAGGGTGTTATGTGAGATTTGTATTGTGAAAATGCAATCAAAGCCTCCCTTCACTCTCCTCTACCTTCAAACACTCCACCCCCCCCCCTACTCTTCTTCTTTCACATTCTGAAGACAGAAGGATCAGAGCCACGAGAGGCTTACTGGTCAAGCCCACTCTACTTCTCTTTAAAATATGAGATTAATTTGTCAAGAGGAGTGCGAGTGTGTGTTTTGTGTGAGTGTGTATGTGTGTGTGAGAGAGAGAGAGTTAGAGGGCTGAGACAGAAGGGCTGATTTAACCGTATGGTAATTTTTGAGGGCTTAATTTGCGTTTGTTTTATACATAGGGCTGCAACTAACAATTATTTTCATAAACGATTAACCTACCGATTATTTTCTCAATATCTTGATTAAACGTTTGGGTCGAAAACGTCCATCACAATTTCCCATTGTCTTGAAGACTTGAAGAGACCAATGTAATGTGGAGCTGCAATGTTGCTATAACAAAACACTTACTTCTTAATCAGTTTTTAAAAATTTGCTGAAAGGTCATTTTCCGTCAGTCAACTTAAAGCTGCATCTCTAATTAAATATGCTGCAGGGTGTTTCTTTTATTCTGTCCACCTCCTCTGTAAACATTCTTCACTTCACAAAGGCTCTTTCTACTCGGCTGCATCGTGGTACGGTACTGGTGTTCATTTTATTTCGTCCACCCCCTGTGTGTACACAAAAACTCTGTGCACTAATATCGAAGCAGACACACACGCGCACACACACACACACACACACACACAGAGACGATGCACACCTTCGGGGACACATTCCTCACCGTGAAATTTTTATTAATCAAGTCAGTGGACAACTTTAGAAGAAGAAAAATCAATTTTTGTTTCTTCCCCAATTTATTACCACATAAATTGTCCTTCACTTCAAAGTGCGCGTCTCGGCATCCGTGTCAAAATAATTAAGTTAAAATCCATTATATTTGCGTTGAGTTTTATCTCCCGCTTTCGACGGCACTGGGGGGGGGGGGGGGGGGGGGACAAAGGGCAGTCGATGCCGGCCGGCTTTCACATCGACGAGACGTACGGCAGCGTTTCACCTTCGCTTCAATCAATATAGAGGAACAATATTGTTATGAAAGGATTCTATGAAAATCCATCAAATATTCAGCAAAGAAAACAACCTGTTGCGCATCATCGACGTCAAGACAACTTTAGAGGCTATTGCAACAAAGTAAGTGATCCGGAAAGGGAGTCGACCAGCACATCAGCGCTCAAT